AGCTCCTGTACCAGCAAAGAAGAGAAAAAATGATGGAGGAAGAGGAGGTGAAGGAGGAGGAAGGGTTGGAGTTATGGCTCAAGCAGTAGAGCATTTACCTAAAAAGCACAAGGTCCTGAGTTCAAATCCTGGTACAGCAAAAATAAATAAGTATATATTGAAGAAGAAGGAGGAGGAAGAGGAGGAGGAAGGGAGAGTGATGGAGGTGAAGTTGATCAGGTTACACTGTATACATGTCATAGTGAAACTTCCCCTTGTACAAATGAGCATGCTAAGCAAGCACCCATGGCTCATGCCTGTAATCCTGGTCACTCAGGAGGCTGTGATCTGAGGATTGTGGTTTAAAGACGCTAGAGCAGACAGATCTGAGGGACCTTCATTTCTACTTAACTAGTAAAATGCTGGAGATGTGGGTCATGTAGTAAAGCACCAGGCTTGAGAGTAGAAGGTCCTGAGTTCAATCCCTACTACAGGCACAATCACTCACACACACACACACACACACACACACACACACACACACAAACTACCACAATTATATTACCATAATGAAATGTCTAATGGTCACATATCATGAAGAAAGAAAGATAGCTTCATGCCATCAATTTAGTCGTGTCACATATTAATGTTGAACTGGGAAGGAGTGAAGGTGATCAGAATATACTGTGCACATGGTACAATGAACTCCCTCTTGGACAACTAATGTATGCTAATAAAAAGAAAAAAGATCCACACACCAGTTTCTCATGCTTGTAATTTTCAAAGCCACTTGGTTTCTAGCGTTCAGAGGACTTAGGAATTGTAGCTAAGAAACCAAGAACCTGGATGTGGGCTGAGCATTTACACTGGGCTGCAAAGATGATAAGCTATGATGAGTTAATTTTCTGCCTTGAGAATGTGAGACATCCACAAAGTCTTGTCTTAACATGACACTGGAGTCACCTATGGAGTAAATTGCTTTCCTGAGCTGAGCTCCACTGTCAGGTTAAAAACTGACTATTGAAATTTGTACAGAGTGGAGATCAGAGTGGGAAATGGGTAACTTATTATTGAACATTATGGGAACCCTGAGAAGAGGAGCTGAAGGAAACTGTGAGAGGTTAGTCATGTCTGCATTGTGAGAGAATGTAGAATGCACCTTTCAGTTCCTAGGATTCCTGTTGTTTCCATCCAGTCCCTCCATCCATTGCCTTTTGATTAAGGCGAAGTCAGGCTTGGACCCCTTTCATATTCATTCTTGCTCTTTTTTTCCCAATCTCAATCTTAATGCCCTGGGATCTACCAGACAAATTACTTTCATTTGATACTCATCTTCTACTTCTTCTCATCCCATTTATCATTTTCTCCCTTGTCATAAGTAATCATTTGTCTCTAAGAGTTAGAAAAGGAGTCTGGCCAGGAGCTAGGAGTTCACACTTATAATCTTAGCTACTCAGGAGGCTGATAGCTGAAGACTGTATTTTTTTCTTTCAGTCGTGGCACCTGAACTCTGGGCCTGGATGCTGTCACTCACCTCTTTAGCTCAAGGCTAGCACTCTATCACTTGAGCCTCAGCGCCACTTTTGGCTTTTTCTGCTTATATGGTGCTGAGGAATCAAACTCATGGCCTCATGCATGCAAAGCAAGCACTCTACCACTGAACCACCTTCCCAGCCCCTGAGCGTTGTAATTTAAAGCTAACCTAGACAGACAAATCCATGTAAGGCCTGTCTTCAATTAACCGGCAAGAAGCTGGAAGTGGAGTTGTATCTCAAGTGGTAGAGTGGCAGCCTTGAGAGAAAAAGCTAAGTGAGAGCATGCACCCTGAGTTCAAGCCCTGTGCCAGCATAAAAATAAAATAAAATAAAAAGAAGCAGGAAGATGCTGGTTCATTCCTGTAATTCTAGCTACTCAGGAGGCTGAGATGTGAAGATTGTAACTTGAAGCCAGCCCAGGCAGAAAAGTCTTTAAGACTCCTATCTCTAATAAACTATGTAGAAAAAGCCAGAAGTGCTCTGGCTCAAGTAGTAGAGTGTAAAGTAGTCTTGAGCAAAAGAAGTTCAGGGGATGTGAAGGGTAAACAAAGGAGGAGGCTGCAATGCTTGGTAAGAAATGTACGCATTATCCTGCCCATGTAATTGTAACCCCTCTGTACAGTATGTTCACAAATAAAATTAAATTAAATTAAAAAAAAACAAAAAAAGAAAATGAACTTTCCAACTTGGGGAGGAGGGAGGAGTTGGGGAGGGGGGAAGGGAAGGGATAGCAGGGGGGGAAAAAAAAAAAAAGAAGTTCAGGAACAGTGCCTAGGGCCTGAATTCAAGCCCCAGGACTGGCATAAAAAGAAAAGAAAAGAAGCCTGTCTTGAGTGGGTCAACATCACTCTCCCTCCTCTGTCTACTTTCAAAATGTCAGCACAGAACAGAGATAGACTTCCCACCCAACAGCACTATTCTAAGAGGTCATCACTAGCAGAGGTGAGTCAGAGATGTAAAAGGAAATGTTGAGTCAGAGAGACTGGGAGGATACCAGACATAACAACATTCAAACTTTGCTACCAGAAACAGGAAGGATAAAGGAAATGAGAGTAAACTGGGGGGGGGGGGGGGGGGGGGGGGGAGTGAAAGAAAAGGAGAGAAAAGAAAAATTTACATCACATTAAGCAAAATGCAGTCTCTCATGTATGTTCCTGACTCTCAAGACTGTTATAACCTACGAAAGTGCAGCTGAAAAAATGCCCTAAGGAAAGAAGGAAATCTCAAAACCATTTTCTCAGATTTCCCTTGGCTCATGAATGTCCAACGGCAGTTAATGACATTTAATTAAGAAGTAGGCTGAAGCAGCCACTTGCATTCTCTATGCAGCTCCACAGCTTTACCCCTCCTTAAGAAGATCTAATGGGGGGGAGGGGGGAGGCTGGGAAGGGAGGTGAAGGGTAAACAAAGGAGGAGGCTTGGTAAGAAATGTATGCATTATCCTGCCCATGTAATTGTAACCCCTCTATACAGTATGTTCTCAAATAAAATTAAATTAAATTAAAAAAAAAAAAGAAGATCTAATAGTTCTTTGTTGAAATGATTCTTTTGCCAATTTCCTTGTTCTTCAGAACAACAAAGGGCAAAGGTGATTAAGAGGAAGAGAATAAGACTCCCTCCCAAGTCATTCATTCTACAGCTGTAGAAGAGCTATATGATATATCTTGTACCTTCTAGTCTTTTTATTGGCCAGTGGAGGGACCTGAACTCTGGGCCTGGACTCTGTCCCTCAGCTCTTTAGCTCAAAGCTAGTGTTCTACCACTTGATCCACAGCACCATTCCAGTCTTTTCTGTTTGTGTGGTGCTGAAGAATTGAACCCAAGGCCTTATGCATGCAAGGCAAGCACTGTACCACTGAGCCACCTTCCCAGCCCTCTAGTCTTTTTTTTTTTTTGAGACTGGGACTGGAACTTGGTATCTGAAACTTTACTCTGGCTGGAACTTTATCATCTGAGCCACTCCCCCAACTCTCTAACTTAAAAAAAAGTGCCAGTATTAGGGCTTGTAGAGCCTTAGCAAGACAATCACCATTTTGTGCATAAAAACTCTAATTTGAGACAAGGCCTATTTCTAGCATATGAGCTTAGGTCCCCGAAATGGCCAGAGATGTCCCACTTGCACCCTACCTGATAAGTTCCCCTTAGCAACAGCCAATTAGCAAGAAGGTGGAAAGTCCCCAGAGCCCTGAGACCCCAAGTGTTGCATTGCCAGCATATTTTTTGTGGTTTAGCTTGCTGCCCTATCAAATGAAATTGTTAATGGCTGACTAAATGTCTGCTAAAATTGGTAAACCCTGCCACCCCATAAGGCAGGGCTCTCAACTCTGATCCTCGGTGTCGGTGACTGTTGGGAGTCCAGGCTCGAGCTTGCAATAAACGACTCTCATGTGCTTGTATCAGAATCAGCTCCTTGGTGGTCTTTGGGGGTCCCTATCTGGGCACAACAGGCTTGAACTCAGGGCTTGGGCCTGGTCCCTTAGCTTTCTTTTGTTGTCAAGGCTGATTTTCTACTATTTGAGCCCCAGTTCTACTTCTAGTTTTTGCTGGTTAATTGATTTTCCTGCCTACACTGGCTTTAAACCACAATCCTGAGATCTCAGCCTCCTGAGTAGCTAGGATTATAGTCATGAGCCACCAGTGCCTGGCCCAAGTGCTAATCTGGGGAACATCTCTGCCTTTCTTACTCTTCAGACCCACTTTTTCCTCCAACCCCCCCATCCCCCCCCCCCCCGTCTCCCCTCCCCCCCCCCCCAGACTCTGATTATGGGATTATGCTCACCAAGCACAGCAAAAGTGATTATTACTGGCTGAATCTCTCCCAAAAACATCCAGAGGAAAGAGAAAGGAAAGGTCTGAGGAGAAGAAGAAAAGGCAAAGGAGAACAGAGGAAAGAAAGGGGACAGGGGAAAGAAGCAAAGGAAGAAGACGTAGAAAGGAACAAAGTAGTCAGGGAATGAAGATGACAGGAATGACAGAAGCATAGAGAAGGGAGAGTGTTGTCCTTGAGTTGCACATGCATGATTATGTCGGTACCCCACTCTGCTTTATCAACAGATCTCCAAGCCAGTGTTTTCCTAGGCTAAGGGAAAGAATCCAATCCACATGATTTTTCCAGATGTAAGCATAGATAGAATTGTTTAATTGCATTCACAGGGGACAGTAACATTGTGCAAAGCCTAAGAATTATTTCCAAAGACTCTGTGTGATTTCTATTGTAACTCAAGGTAGATTGGAGGGAAGGAGATGATAAAGGATGCATTAAACTCTTCCAGTTCACTCCCAACGCCAAATGAGACCAGGAAACTGACTTGAAGCAGGGTCATGTTCATCACTAGAGCAGCTCTTTGCTTATCTCTTTCAAGGGCAGGAGTTGGAGAGGAGAGACAGAATACCCTGAGAAACTAGTTATTATTCTGTCACCTCTGAGCTCAGAAACCAAATACAAGTTGAATGAACCTGAAGCAAAGAAGAGACATGTTTTCAGAATTTATGATAAAGAACAGCCCATTCTTTATTTGCAGGGATGAACATAGAGCAAAGAAACCTATCAAAATTGTTTTTGAGAAGGGGGAATGGGAAGGATGGCAGTGATGGGGGTGGGGGTAAGGTCGATTGAGATTGTATACAGCTGTAGAAATGTCACAGTGAACCTCCTTGTAGGATTAATGTAGGTTAAGGTTAAACAACCAAAAAAAATTCACCCTCTTTTCCAGAACCTTCTCAGCAATATTTTGAAGAGGAGAAGAGCAAGATGAAAAAGAAGAGAACCAGGTGAGAGAAATAAGAATGAGCTACTTCACTGCTCTAATGACAATGTATTCCTTATGTTATCACAGGCTATATAAATGACCTTTTCCATAATGAATGTCAGGTAATTGCAGTTAGGTGTAACTAGTCCTGGTTTGGACAGTTTGCATATTGTCAAGTCAAAGGGACGGGGACTTCTGTGACATTTGGCCCCCTTGATAGCACAGGCAACGACAGGACTCTTACAGACAGCTGTGACTACACTTGGGTCTTCATGGATGAATGTGTATTGGGCCACACAGCTATGATTGTGCCCCTGGTTCTTGGATGCCATCATGGCATTACACTCCCTGTCACTCAAGTCAAACCTAAGATAGTCTTCATTGCTCTGAAAAAGAGCCTCTGCCTTCATCATCTTGCTTCCTCCCACTTCATCTTCACCAAGGATGGGCTCTTCTGGACCACCAGGCTGCATCATTTCTTTAATGCTAAGCACCAGGGTTTCTGGGGTTCTGGTGCCTTCTCCCTCTTCAGTGGCCCTAGTTTTGTCCTGTGAGTCACTGGACCAAAACTCATTCAGTGGTTGATCACTATCTTCCAGGACTGCTGCAGCCATGTGGAGCCCCAACCCCAGGCCCAGACCCAGACCCAACAGCAGCAAAAGCAGCATGAAAGAGGTCTGTACCAGAGTCATCTTCATGTTGCCTAGAGGGGAGGAGGGAAATGGAAGGACATGTTGTGAAATGCAAGCTGACTCTAAGGGTGGTGCAAGAGAGAGACAACAGTACTAAAACTTTCCACATGTGCTTTGGGTCTCCTCTCTGTCTCACTCTCCCCTAGCAGTCTTTTCTCATTTGTCCCATGCTTCTCAGCACTTCCCATTACTGCCTAGGCAGTGGATTCTCAAGATTGGAAAGTGACCAGGGGAATTTTTTTATTTTGTTTGTCTGTTTATTGTGCTGGTTCTGAGACTTGAGAACTCAGGCATAGGCCCTGTCCCTTAGTTTTTAGCTCAAGGCTGGTCTATCATGGGAGCCATAACATCACATCTAGCTTTGTGGTAGTTAATTGGAGATGAGTCCCCTAGACTTTCTTGACCTGCTGGATTTGAAACTTGATCCTCATGTCTCAGCCTCTTGAGTGGCTAGGATTACAGGTATAATCCAGTAGTGTTTGGCTAGAAAGTAATTCTGCATTTGGTTCACATATGGGGAATTAATGAGAAAAGTCGACATCAATGATAACTCTGTGGTGTGTATGTATCCTGGAGCTTGAACTCAAGACCTCACATTCTCTTTTGATTTTTCTGCTCAAAGCTGGAATTCTACCACTTTGGTCACAACTCCACTCCCACATTCCTAGCTAATTGGAGGTAACAGTCTCACAGACTTTTCTGCCTGGGATGGCTTTTGAACCACAGCCTTTAGATCCCAGCCTCCTGAGTAGTCATATTTATAGGCACCCAGCCTCCTGAGTATTCATATTTATAGGCACAAACCACCAGTGCTTGACTATACCAATTAATTCTTAAATTATTTCTAAATCATCAAGAGAACAGTTACAAAGGCAAGTGAATACAAAGAAACTTTTATAGGAAGCCTTATTCTTGATAAAGGACTAGAATTATCACGGGAGAGCATGTATCTATTTTTATCCAAATTCATCCAAATAGTCTCCTCAGGAAAAGAAAAATTTATAGAAAAAGTACCATCATTTATTCTCATTTCTAAGCTGAAGCTTTATGCCTAATTTAATCTCACGTTACCATATTCCTTTTCCCACAAAAGACCTCTAGCTGGGCGCCAGTGGCTCACACCTGTAATCCTAGCTACTCAGGAGGCTGAGATCTGAGGATCGTGGTTCAAAACCAGCCTGATCAGGAAAGTCTGTGAGACTCTTATCTCCAATTAACCACTAGAAAACCAGAAGTGGTGCTGTGGCTCAAGTGGTAGAGAGCTCACCTTGAGCTGAATAGTGCAGGGACAGTGCCCAGGCCCAGAGTTCAAGCCCCACAACCGACAAAAAAAAAAAAAAAGGACCTCTTAGTATTCATGTCCGTTACTTTTGTACCCCCAGGGAAGAAACACAGTATGAATAAAACCAAAGAGAGCTAAACAACTAACCTTTTGTGATTCCCTTATTAAAGATTCTTACTGGGTATTGGTGGCTCACACTTGTAACTGGGAGGCTGAGATTTGAGGATCGAGGTTCGAAGCCAGCTTTAGCAGGAAAACCAGTGACCCTCTTATCTCCAATTAACTGCCAAAAAAGCCAGAAGTGGAACTGTAGCTCAAGTGGTAGAGTATTAGTCTTGAGTAGAAAAGCTCAGAGACAGCTCCAAGACCATGAGTTCAAGCCCTAGGATTGACACCAAAATTTAAAATGAAATAAAATAAAAAATAAATAAAGATTCCAGGACTGGGAATGTGGCTTAGTGGTAGATTGCTTGTCTAGCATAAATGAACCCATGGGTTCAATTTCTCAATACCACATAAAAAGAAAAGGTCAGAAGTGGTGCTGTATCTCAAGTGGTAGAGTGCTAGCCTTGAGCAAAAGAAGCTCAGGGACAGTACCCAGGCCCTGACTTCAAGCCCCAGAATTGGCAAAAAAAAAAAAAAAAAGTACATACATATAAAAATAAGATTTGAAAAGAGGCAAAAAAAAGTTACAGTTCTTAGAAAAATAAAGATTCTAATCCAAATGTGAGGGCTGTGCTAAAGCTCTGGTAGAGAGCATGCTCTGCATGCAGTGCACTGTGGGTTTTTTCCCCAAATACACACACACACACACACACATATCCTGGTGAGAGGTACCTCACACCCCTATCAGAGACCTATGAACCAAAAGAATAAAACAAAAAAGAACATTATTTAAATATGTAGTAAAATCAGAGAACAGTTCTGTAGAGAGTCAGAGACTATTATATCTGTGTCTGCAATACTAAATTTTAACAATGTACTCTGATTAAAAGAATATCCTTGCTTTTTAAAAATACACATTGAAGCTAGGTGCTGGATGGCTTATGCTGATAATTCTAAACCACTCAAAAAGCTGAAATCTGAGGATTGAGGTTTAGAACCAGTCCAAGCAGACAAATCAAAGAGACTATATGTCCAATTAACCAACAAAAAACAGAAGTGGAAGCATGGCTCAAGTGATAGAACACAGCTTTGAACAGAAAAGGCCAAGTGAGATACAACACTCTGAGTTCAAGTACAATAATTGCACACAAAAAAAGCATATTGAAATTTAAAGGAACCCTACATATGCAACTACTCTCAGTGGCTCATGCCTGTAATCTTATCTACTCAGGAGGCTGAAATCTGAAGGTCATGGTTTGAAGCCAGTCTAGGCAGGGAAGTTCAGGAGACTCTTATCTCCAATTAATGACCAAAATAAAGTTAATGACCAAAAAAAAGCCCTAAATGGAACTGTGGCTCAAGTGGTAGAGCACTAACTAGTCTGAAGCAAAAAACTCATGGACAGCATTCAGGCCCTGAATTTAATCTCTAGGACTGGTCCCAAAAGATAGATAGATAGATAGATAGATAGATAGATAGATAGATAGATAGATAGATAGATAGATAGATAGATAGATAGATAGATAGATGTATACATCTGTGTGCAAGTACATGCATACAGCGAATGTGAAGAAAATAAAGTTGAGAAAAATAACTTTAAATTATGTATCTGGATAAATAGCATTGAGCTTCCTTCCTTTCTAGCGTCTCTTACTGTAAGTTTTCTATAAAACTGAAAATATAAAAAAATTATAAGGACAACTGAGAATTGCCCATATTTTTCCCCAGGGCACCCAACACAACTGTGCCTTACCTACACACTAAGGAACTTCAGAAGTTCTTGAGTCTTCCTGTTCTCTAAGTTCTTCCCTCTCAGGCTTTCTCACCTGTGAGCAGTACCCCAGCCACCAGTGTCCAAAGACATGGTGATCTCCTGTGTCCATGCCTCTTAAACACAGACAGACTTCCTTAGCCCACTCTTCTCTCTTTCCCACACATCCCTGAATCAATTTGCCTTCCTGCTCCCACAAACCAAAACTTTTGAAGTAAGGCTATTTGAGGCAATGAAACAGAACCAGACATCCAAAACAGGAAATGTCTCAATCCTGGAGAACAGCAGACCGTTTTATTTCATCAATAAATCATTCCGATCATGCATTACACCCACCAACCAGCCTGTGGTTTACAGAAGTCTGAACTTGTGCATAAGTTTCCAGTCATGTCTTCTTACATTTCCCACATGTTCCTCCTTCTACTATTCTTTGTCATTCTGCAATGTTAAGATCTCCTTTTATTTACATCCTTCCAACATAATTGTTTTGCTTTTCACTTTTTTCAACTGTATCATGATTTTACTGAATGATTTAGAATATTTAAGTTAATCATAAACTGTCACTTGCATTTATTACCTTTAACCTAGCCCTCTATTCTCCACTCCTTTTACCCATCTTAAAACCAATAAATCACATGCCACAAGGTGCAGGAAGCTCATGCCTGTGACCCTAATTACTTGGTAGGCTAGGATCTGAGAATGGAGGGTCAAAGCCAGCTGGGACAGGAAAGTCTGTGGAGCTGTGGCTCAAGGGGTCAAGTGCTAGCCTTCAGCAAAAAAACCTAAGGGCCAGCATCTAGGCTGTGACTTCAGGCCCCCACTACTGTCACAAAATCACCATCATCATTATCACCTGCCAACAAGAACAGCTAGATTTTATAAATCTGGTTATTTAGTCCTAAATTGGTCCTATATTAGAGATTCTCCAAAGAAGCACAGTCATCATCAGTTCCCATATACTACATGAGTAAAACCAGGAAGATTATAATGTGAAGTGATTCTATTTTTTTTCCTATTGTAGTATAGCTCCTTCTTCGTTTTTGCTGCATGCAAGATTGTTTCCTTATTATTCAGATCTATCATTTTTACTATAATGTGTCTAGAAGTGTTTCTCCTGGGATCCTGCTTGTTAGGTGTTATATATGCTTCTGTTATGTAGGTAAGATGATCTTTTTTAAGATGGGGGAATTTTTCACTGATAATTTTGTTGAATAAGTGTTGCATTAGCTTGCTTTGGTATTCCTCACCTTCATCCACTCCAATTATATGAAGGTTAAATTTCTTGGCACTATCCACTTGCTCTTGTATTTCCCTTAGGCATAATGTAAGTGATTTTCCCATATCTGTAACTTTTTGGTCCAGTTGGTATATTTTGTCTTTTGTATCTGACACTCTAAATTCCATTTCATTCAGTCTGTAAACTACAGCTTCCATTGTGGTTTGCCTGGAGGAAATAGACTCATTTATGGATTCGATGTTCTCAAAGTACTGATCTCACCTCTTAGTGAGGTGTGTACTGCCTCTATTTTTGCGTGCACCTCTTGTTTGAGACCTTGCATCTCTTTTGATAGTTCATCCCTGTGTTCTTTAAATTTCTGGTCTATTTCTTGCTTTAATTGTTGAGTCATTGCCTCCAGCATCTCTTGGATGTAGCTTTTGTCTTCCATTCCTGCTTTGTTCCGACTGGGGCTCTCCCTTGGGTGGCTGCTGGATTTGGGGGGTAGCTTGCTTGGGGGGTGTTGATAAACCTTGTAATTTTTCTCTGTGATTTATGCATGAGGATTTAGGGATTATTGGAGACTAATCTGAAATTTTATTTGGTCAATAGGTGTCTGTCTTTGCTTGGTTGTTGTTTCTGGGCTGGCGGAGAGTCTGTACCTGGTTTCAGTTCTGTTGGGGGCCGACCTCTTGCTACTGGTCTGACCCATGTAGGGCTCTTGTCTCTCTGCTATAGGTCACTGCCTAGACTGCTCCTGTTTACTCCTACAGATGCTCTTGGTGAGATCGAGTGTGCTGGATGTACTCTTCCAGTTGCTGGAGTCTGCTATGGGCTCCTGATGTGTGTTTGTTTGTTTGTCTCTTTCTTTCTTACTTTTGCCTGGTTCTGGGCCTGAATTCTGGGCCTGGCGCTGTCCTTCAGCTCTTCAGCTCAAAGCTGGCGCCCTACCATTTAGCCACAGTGCCACTTCTGGCCCTTTCTGCTTATGTGGTGCTGAGGAATCAGATCCAAGGCCTCATGCACACAAAGCAAGGACTCTACTACTGAGCCACCTTACCAGCCTTAGCTCCTGACTATTATCAGGTGCTGGCAGCCTGAGTTGTCCAATTCCTGGCCTGGGATATATGGGTCGGGTTCTGGTGGGGTTTGGGCTTCTGGTTCTCTTGCCCTGGAGCCCCAAGTTTTCTGCTGTTACAGGCGTGATTCCCAGGGGGTGCAGTTCCCTGTTTCCTCCCCTCTGCTGAGGCATATGCTCAGCTTCTGATTTCAATCAGGAGGAGTTTGTTGTGTTGCTTAGGCACTGGATCCCCAGGCCTGGTCATGGCTACTAGTCCCCGGCCTGGGACATGCCAGTGTTAATTTTTTTTTTTTGAGAGTTTATTTTTAGGAGGCTTAATATTTTGAGCTGTAAGCCTATTTTAGATGTGAGGCCATTATCTGATGTATGGCTGGTAAAAATCTTCTCCCATCTTCTATTTATCTTGTTAGCTATGTCCTTTGTGCTGTAGAAACTCTTCAGTTTGCTGCAGTGTCATATATCCAATCTTCCTTTGATTTATGATTCTGGATCTTTACTTAGGTTTTTTCAACTCTTGCCTTGAAGACCTAGTGTTTCCCCCTACCCCTTACTGTAGTATTTTCATGGTACCTTTGATCCATTTAAAATAATTCTGGTGCAGGGTTAGTAGTCAATTTTTCCAGCATGACTTATTGTGGTTTTGGCTCCCTTATCAAATATTATGTGGCTATATTTCTATGGATTTATTTCTGGGTCTTCTATTCTGTTCCATTGGTCATCTGGCTTATTCTTATGGCAGTACCAAGCTGTTTTTATTGCCCTAGCTTTCTCATAGAATTTGAATTCTTCCTGCTTAGGATTGTTTTTGGTATGGGGTCTTTTCTATTTTTATTTTTGTCAGTCATGGGGCTTGAACTCTGGGCCTGAGCACTGTCCCTTAGCTCTTCAGCTCAAGTCTAGTGCTCTACCACTTGAGCCACAACACCACTTCCAGTTTTCTGGTGGTTTATTTGAGATAAGGGTCTCATGGTCTTTCCTGCCAGGACTGACTTTGAACCATGATACTCAGGTCTCAGCCTCCTGAATAGCTGGGATTACAGGCATGAGCCACTGATGCCTGGCATATTGGGTCTTTTATTATTAATTGTGAAGTTTCAGATTGCTTTCTCTATTTCTTTGAAGAAACTTGTTGGGATTTTGATGGGTATTGCATTGAATTTGTAAATTGCTCTGGGCAGCATTGCCATTTTTACAAAGTTAATTCTTCCCATCCAGGAGCATGGAGATGGTTTTTCCATTTCCTAAATATGCTTCAATTTCTTTTTTCAGATTTTTATCACAATAGAGGTCCTTGAACCTAATACAATAGGAGTTGCATTCCTGATTTCAGTCTCATTCTTCCCATTGTTGGCATACAGGAAAGCTAGTGATTTTTGTGGGTTATTGTTATACCCTGCTACTTTGGCAAAGTTTCATATCAACTCAAGTAACTTGGATGAGGAATCTATAGGGTTCTTTAAATACAGGATCATTGAGCTGGTAGTGAGGCTTAGTGGTAGAGTTGTTGTCTAGAGTGCATGAAGCTCTGGGTTCAATTCCTCAGTACCACATAAACAGAAAAGCCAGAAGCGGCACTGTGGCTCAAGTGGTAGAGCACTAGCCCTGAACACAGAGAAGCTCAGGACAGAGCCCAAGCCCTGAGTTCAAGCCCCAAGACTGGCAAATAAAAATAAAAAAATAAAATACATATGTACAGGATCATGTCATTCACAAAGAGGGATAGCTTTATTTCTTCTTTCCTAATTTGGATCCTCTTTGTTTTTCTCTTGCCTTATTGCTCTTGCTAGGAATTCCAGTACCATGTTGAAGGGGAATGGAGAGAGCGGACCTCCTTGTCTAGTTCCTGATTTTTGAGGGAATGGTTTTAACTTTTCACTATTAAGTATGATAGTGCTGTAGATTTGTCATATATAGCCCTCATTATACTAAGTATTGTTCCATGGATTCCTAGCTACTTTGGAGCTTTTATCATAAAGGAATGTGAAATTTTGCCAAATGCTTTTCCTGCATCTGTTAAGATCACAATGTGGCTTTTGTCCTTGCTTCTGTTGATTTGATGAATTACATTAATTGACATGTATATTGAACCAGCTTTACATCCCTGGAATGAATTCCATTTGATTATAATGTATGATTTTTTTTGGTAGGTTGTTGAATTCGATTGGCCAGAATTTTATTATGAAGTTTTGCATCAATGTTCATCAAAGAGATGGGTCTATCTATAGTTCTCTTTCGTTGATGAGTTTTTATCAGGTTTAGGGAGGAGTGTTTTGCTGGCTTTGAAGAATGAGTTTGGTAATGATCTTTCCCTTTCTATTTCATTGAAGAGTTTGAGGAGTATAGAATGAGTTCTCCTTTGAAAGCTTTATAGAATTTGCCTATAAATCCATGAGATCCTGGGCTTTTCTTGGATGGGAGGTCTTTTTTTAATATTTTTTTATTGTAAAGGTACTGTACAGAAAGGTTACAGTTACATAAGTAAGGTAATGACTACATTTCCTACTAAACATTGTTACTCTCTCTTTGATTTTCCCCTACCATCCCTTCCCTCCCCATTTTCCCAACTCCTCCCTCCCTCCCTCCCACCCACACTCATAGATGTAAAGTTCGTTTTCAACATAGAGTCTTGTACATATCATTGAGTCAATGAGTCAATCTGTATCCCTATTTAAGCATTTTGTTTTTTCCCTTCCCCTCTCCAAATTAGAAAAATGTGTATACAAGATTCAGGGCACTGGAATCAAATACAATGAAAACAGGGGTTATACCTGGGGGAGGGACATACCAAAGAAACAAAAAAATCACATAGTACATTATAAATATGTTAAAAACAATAGCAAGAAAGAAAA